CCGTGCATTAACATAAATACCTCCAAAAAGTCCGAAATGGTCCTTTGCATTATTGTCCATAAATCCCTCTTTCTCTCATTATGTTCTTCGTATGTACTCCTCGTGTTCCAAGAAAAAAATTATAAATAAGAATTATAATAAAAGGGTGAAAAAACATTTATGGGCCCTTATACTTCTTTCAATTATGGAGACTGGCCAACCTTAATCGCGCCCCCACGCGCGAAGGGCACCCTCACCCATTTGTATTCCTTGTAGATTCCACGTCATCAAAGTCATCTACAATAACTCTTTACAAGGAATTGTGACTTCACGTAAAAAGAAAAAGACAGAATTATGCAAATTGTTAGAATAGACGACGAGGGAGCCGTTGGAATCTTGCTAGGTGATAAATATACCAAATTAATTAGTAAGTTATAAAATGTCTTAGTCTTAAGTTCACGCTATAAAAATTTAGTCTTGAAAATAGAACAAAGAAAATAAAATAACGCAGTCATCAATGACTTTCAACGAATTTGAGCCCACTTTCCAATAACTTGAGTGCATCCAGAGTATGAAGTCACAAATACGTAGGCGGTTGTTGTTATATATCCGTCACGAATATTTCCTAAAAATCTGTCTGCAGCTCGAGCGATAGCAAATAGATACTGTCGTCGACGCAAGTTAAACGTTGGCTACGAGAAGTTTTAACGGGCCGGGGGAAAATTAACCAGGCAGAAAACTTTTTAAGAATATAGTTTCGAGAGCAAAGGTGATTAATTGCTAGCATCCGATTTTTTATGGAATTTATAATTATCGTTAAGGAGTGAAACACGAGTCAGATCGTACAAGTATTATTTTGTACTGTCACGTAACATCAGTGCCGGCCCTAGTTTAAGGCAATTAAGACATTTGCCTTGAGCCTCAGCTTGGGTAAGGCCCACCCATGACTCACCCACAACTTGTAGTTATAGTTCTCATAGACCCTTGTGAAAGGTTGCGAGCATGCTTACTGGTTTGTTTTACGACTTCCTTCATTTATTTTGTGTTGTTTTTTTTATCTGTTTTAGTAAAGATCGAATTTGTGTGTTTATTGTGGATTCACAGATGTTAGGGTTGGTTATGCGTTCTTGTTTTGGGGTGAGGAAAGGGGTATTGATAATTTGGAGGTGATTTGAGTGCTGGGTTTAGCTGGGTGGTCTATATTATCATAATGAATTGTTGAAAATGGGTTCCAAATGGGTTCTTGGAAGTAATATTAATGCATATATGCGTCGTTGGTTTTATGATGTTTTGTATTGTTTGGAAAATGTAAATTTCAGTGTCTAGTTATGATGCGGAGAAAATGATGTTGATTAACTTGAAGGTTTGAGGTTTAGGTAGTTTAGGGTCTAGATTATGATCATGGGTTCATGCAAATATGTTTTCGGAAGTAGAGTGTATAGTTTAGTTTATTTGATCATATCTAGTTGTTTCTATTCAAATTTATAACCTGAGTTGTTTCTAGTTCAAATTTATAACCTGAATTGCTTCTATTCAAATTTTAAAAGTAGAGATTAATAGTCCAATTGAAGTGTTGAACTATATAAAGTGGTTAGATTCTTTTCTAAATACTTGTATTGCTTATAATATATTATTGACTATACCCGTAACAGTTGCTTCCGCTGAAAGAAAATTTTTAAAATTAAAATTACTAAAATCTTATTTAAGATCGACCATGTTAACAAGATAAATCGAATGATTTAGCAATATTATCTATCGAAAATAATATGTTAGAAAATATTGAATATAAAACTTTAATTAGTAATTTTGCAGCTCAAAAGATAAGAAGAATGAGATAAAATCTATTATAAGTTGTATCATTTGGGCCTCATCTAATATTTCGCCTTGGGCCTCAAAATTACTAGGTACGACTCTGCGTAACATCGCCATCACCACCGTGCCCCTCGAGACAATAATGTTGGAAAAAAGTGTGGAAATAGTGATAAAGATCATAAATGTTATTTTCAATGGGCAAAATTTTAAAACAGACCCCTTCGCAAAAAAATTCCCCAAAAAAGATCTGTTTTGAAAATATTTGCAAAAAATGTCTCAGTTTCAGCCTCAGAGCGGCTGAAACTGGGTCGTTTTTTACGAAAAATGTTCCCAAACTTCACGGGAGTTGAACTATCGTGAAGTTTGGGAACATTTTTTCCTAAAACCGACCCAGTTTCAACACTATGGCTAAAACTAGGTCGTTTTTTAAAAATAAAGTGAAAACATGTCTTTTCTCGGAATAAATTTGCAAAGCCGTCTATTTCAAAAATTGTCCTTTTTTTAATATAAATAATCATCTATTTCTTAAATGCACGCTGAATCATACACACATCCACAACTGTATCCAAACTTTCTTATCCTAATAATTAAGCTATGACTTTAGGCATGTACAAATTAACGTGTTGCTAGTCACCACGACGATCACACCGTCGTCCTTGATGACGAAGAGAACTTTGGAGTTGTCTTCAAAGTCTCAATCAATCAGTTTGCATGGAACTCCGAGAGTAACATGTATTACTTTGATCAAGTTGTAGATGTGGATATAAACTAAGGAAATAAATGCCCAATTTCAGTTCGTCTTATTTTTGAGGCCGACTATAGTTCAGTTCAAAGGCACTAACATACATTTTTTCCATCAAAGAAAAACCAGTGGATCGAATCTACGCGTAATGGGTCGGTCCCTTTCGGTGTCCATATTAACTTTCAAGCCTTAAATAATTTAAGATCTCAAGTCTAACGGTTATGTGCAATTCACGCCATAATCCACTGTTGCAGGCTTAGTGGGGATCTTGGGCTCGTAGACTGGTCTCATCCATCTTCATAATGCGGTTTTACTGGATCAACACAACATTAAAAAATATTTTTTAAACCTACTGCGGGTGATCAGGATGGTTACAAAGTTTCAGAATGGCTCCCACTATCTTGGGTTTGATTCTAAACTAAATTATCAAAACAAATAAATTAAATTATCTATTATTTAGACTATTATAAAGAATAAAATAATTTGGAATTTATAGTAGATAACAAATGTTAGAAAAATATATATAAAAAGATGATATCAAACCGGATAATATAATTAACCTCAGTTTATTCCATTATAATAATTTACACCAAAAAGAATTTTATTTTAATAATTATTTTATCCTATAATTTCATTATAAAAGTTAAAAATAAAAAAAAATTAAATGGAATAAACTGAGGTTAATGATTGATATAATACGATATAATAGGTATTTTTTATTTGTTATCACATAGTTTAAGGGTAAAATCGGAAAAACAAAAAAACTCTAAAGCTACAGTGTTGCGCCATTCTTGGCGTGATACTGTAGCACCTCATCAGTTTAACGCAGGATTTAGCAATCGGTTGGAGTGAGTTTTTTGCGCTAAAATGTTTTAGCACTAAATTGCAGCTCAGTTGGAGATGACCTAACTGAGTGTGCTCTCAAAGTTTCCCTCGTCATTAAAAACAAAAAAAATAATGAGCGCTCTGTTCTGAAGCACAAACTGGACAGTTAAAATTTTTAAGCGGTATCTCCGCCCATTTGATCACATGTATGTCATTATTCTGATAAATTTGCTCGCCGGGCTACATCTTATATGTATATGTTGAGAAGGGCAGGACTAGGATTTTTTTGGATCGGATAGCGTCTCTCAGCGGTCGGCCCAATCTTTACCAACATAGAGGTACTGAAAAGTTTCTAAAGCTAAAGGAGAGCTGAACTATATAGCCCATGGGCCAGTTCAATTCCATCCATTTATCCTCTCCTCCTCAGTTTCTTGGATCACATTTCTGACCAATCTTCCGTTTCGTCTATTTCTTTATTTTCTCCTCTCCTCCTTTTTTGCTAATTAAAAGTTGTCGTGTGTCTAGGGATAGTTTGAGACTGCCCAATCTATACAATACTTGGATCCAAAAAAACTTCAACTAGGGTTAGCACTTAATCCGTGATTAATTACTTTCTTTCTTTTTATTCCTTTTTCTTTTTGATAAACAAACACACATAACAAACTCAAAAAAAAAAAAAAAAAAAAAAAAAAAACACAAAAAAAAAAAAAAAAAAAAAAAACAGATCCAAATTTCAAACCTCTAGAATTCATGCCTAGGTTTATCCTTACGTAGTTTACGAGGGATGAAATCGAGAGGATCGTCGAGCCACGCCTGAAAGTCATCCAGATCGATCGTCTTTCTTGCTAGTGCATGAGCTAAACACATTCCCGGCTCTTCGAACTACCCCAAAATTTTCACCTCCCATCAAAAACTGAAAGTTTTAAGAATCTAATATCAAAACATGATGTAGATCACATTTCTGACGTGGATTTTCAATTTAGAGGTACAACCACACAACCTGACTTAAAAGTGCTTGCACCTTGACCTCGAACATAACTATTTCTTCCAAAATCTTTTATTTTATTCATTTATTGGCCTCGCCTTGGCAAAACTACTCCAGTGAATGAGTTGGATAGTTTTGTTGGCTTCTTCAAAAGGTCATAATCAATTGGCCTCAATGACTAAACCCATGCCACTTCTTTGACAAGCAACGCACATAGTTTAGATGGAAAATTACACATAATTTAAGTAGAATTATGAGCACATAAGCAAGCTTCAAGTAGACCTAATACTGAGGACTTGCTCCTTTCAACATTAAACTAATTATGATCAGGGTCCTCTAATATGCCAAAAGCAAGCTTCAAATAGACCTAATATCGATGACTTTCTTATTTCACAATTAAACAAACTCATTGTGATCAGGGTCCTCCAATGAGCCAAGATGGAAGCAATTTGTGTTTTTGTGTGTGCGTGTGTGCGCGCGCTTTGTGTGTGTGAAGCTTAAAAAGATACGGATATCAGCACAAGTAACCAGCGTGCGGTCACATTATGCTAAATGTATTTCCTTGATACTAATTTTGTTTAACTGCCAAGCCTCCTTCAGACTCATAATGGAGTTGCTTACTTATTTTAATTTGCTCATTGGATGACAGAAGATATCTTGGAGCATAAACTTTCGGCATCCCATTTTATTTCATAATTTACCGTGAAACAAATGTATCAAAAAGACATCTCCTTACAAAATTACAACAAAGAAATACATGATCTATAAGGACTATCGAGAGCGAGATAAATCAAATTCCTGGTCTTCAAAGAACTTTCCCTTGCGTTTCAGACGCTGGCAATGGCTTTCGCCAATTCCTCCATCTCCGCGCTTCTTAATGCAGAGCTTGCTGGTTCAAAATAAGCATCATCGCCCCCCAAAAAAATCTGAATTTTACGATGAATATGTCAGTTATATAGCAATTAGATGCATTACATAGCCTAGCTTATTAAGCTACCAGTCCCTTATAAAGAGAGACAAAACATCATTTTAGAGATATTAGCTGGAAGCAACATAGCTGGCATTATTGATATGTTTATTTATGTTTCTTTTGTTTTTGTGCGGATATAGCAAACTGCACAGCAATTCTACTATAATAGAATCACACGACAAAAACATTAGCTATAGACAAAGAAAGATCTGAATTAGGAAAGGATTAACATCTAAATTTTTTAAATACTACAAATAAACTAATATTTCTTATCAGAGCTTGAACAAGCTAATATTAAAAGAAAGGTTAAATATCGGTAAGTGAAATTTACTTACAACATAAGATATTACAACTACGTTTTGTTATTTTTCCTTCAAACCCAAATTTATATCTGTATTCTGCACAAGTATGGATATGCGATATCCATGTGAACAAGGATACAAATAGTGCTAGAGTAATGAAGTATTTAACAACTGATACATAAGAACAAATCCTATCTATAAAATTCTAATCCATTTATTACTTCATGTAAATTTGTGATAACATGCTGCCACAATTTTGTACATTTTTCGTATCTTAATGTAACAAGGTGTAGGTGTCTAAAAATGCCCATAGGTTCCTGCACGCAGCTCGAGACGAAGAAAAGACGAAGAATGTCATCATCTAAGTCAAGAAGGGTTATCCGAGTAGCCCGCGCTTGTCGGTCAGCTCCAAGTGCACGTCGCGCTTGTCGGTCAGCTTCAAGTGCCGTAAAGAAGTCAACGAGCGCATGAAGCAAGCTAGCAAAACGTACAAGTCAACAAGACAACAAAATACGCAAAATGGTAGAAAGTACAAGTCCGGGGAAGTAGGAAAACACCAAAAGCTCAAAAAGCCTCGGAACCCGTGTGGGGGCGTGGGTCACCACTGGATGACCTCACACACGCGGGTCACCGTGGTCTGTCGCGCAGTCTCGAGCCTCAAACCCGTTTTCGACGGTTTTTAAACGGTTTTGGATTTTTTATGTCCAGAAGTTACCCAACTAACTTGATATCATCGGCTTGAACAACACGTGAATAAGTTGTTAACTGAAGATAAGGCCAAATCTCTCATTCTCATCCAAATAACCGCATACGAGGCTCTATAAATATAAGCCTAAGAGCTCCGTTCTACGGATCTGGAATTTTATCAAGAGGACGAAGTGCTGCTGGGTTAGAGAGTCAAGGAGCCATGAAATTTCAGAGGAGGCTAGCTAGATCCCGACGAACTTCGGCATAAAGAAGGAGTCTTTCGAAGGATCTGAAACTATGTCCTCCATTTCCTTGAGATTAGGCTTGGTCTTAATCTCGAGAAGAGTATTGATTTCGCTTGATCGATATTAGTACTTCAGCGAATATTTCCTTTGTGAAGTAGGAGCTCTGATCAATTCTTCTGTCAATCGGATACGATCCGTAGGTGGTCCACGGATAAACCCCGGCACCGACAAAGATCCCGCGCAAGCAATAGGAGATAAACTACTATTGTGTGTAGTTTGAAAGAAAGTTGTAATTTTCGTTGTAAGTCTTACAAAAAACTATTTCTTTGAGTTTGTTGTAAACGCCTAAAGTTGTAATGAACTCGTCAACGAAATCAATTTTCCACTCAAACACAAGGGAGTAAAATTGAAGATTGAAGTCTCATTCCAGCCACTGGTTATTTCAGCTATATCTGGTTACATATCCACATAGAATTTGTGTGTGACTTTGTTCTTATTGAATATGAAACTGGGTCCAGTACACAAACCATATTTGCATTCATATTTGTATATCCTACAACAAACAAATACAAATACTACACCTACATCATCACTGTTTATACCCCAATCTACTGAACAATGACAAATCCCCAAGTTATTTGAATTCGCGAATTATTCGAATTTGGAAAATCCTAAAACATCTAAATAATTAGCTAGCGATAGCAGCACAGAAGGTATCATCATGACAGGCTGAATGATAATGATCAGCTGTATTCCAATGGAAACGTTTAACACGAAAAGAAGTAGGCGAAAACAAAATGCCTTGTCAAGTTGAAGCAGACTTTCTAAAAGCATATTTGATCTTATTATAGCTACTTTTTTTTTAATACCTATTAATTGCTAACTAATCCTAGGCCCTACGTCCACTGGTTGGGTTCCTTATTCCTTAAGCATCACAACTAGTCTCAACTTGATCACAAAATTTCGGCATGATGCTGATAGGTTTCTTGGCTGCTGCGGCTCAATGTGACCTAAAAGATTGATATCATCAGTAACGAACAGCAAATACTTTATTAGCGAAATTTTTTACAGCTTGACATGCATGTTAATAGTGCTATTAATTAACACAGACTTTGACCTGAAAACAAACACATGATACAATATGATCATATACCGTTAAGCTAGGAAAGTGATACAACAGATGGGTATCTTTCACCTACTGATAAATCAATTTCAACTGTTGAGATTTTAACAAACGGAGATCACGACTGTTTTTACCGTGCTGTAATCTGCTTACATCAAAGACAGCTAGCTGATTTGCAAATAAATTTGTACTTGTGCTGGGGGCACCATGAAGTTGACAGCTTCCCGAGATTATTACTATACAATTTCACCCGAAAACAAGCACATGATATGATATGCCCATGCATTAGCTAGGAAAGTGATACCTTAGATGGGTATCTTTCAACTAAATGGTAAACAATATCCCCAGTTGGATTAATATATTCAAAGATCATGACTGTGTTTAATTAGTAAGTTGTTTCAACTTTTGTCTGCGGATCTCAAGGACAGCTGGTTCGCATATAAATTTGTACTACTATGCAGGGAAACAACAAAGCAGGGAGATAGTGATAGCGTCCCCAACGCAGGCACCTTGCTAAACTCTCACTGTCCTCGAAGCAGTGCAATATTTGTCTCACTAGCTTTGTTTGCAATTGGTAAACAACAGGTTCTCTGCACTCGGTTGCATATATTGTCATCGCGTTACCGTCGCTAAAACTCCGTTAGTATCGTCACAGGCACGGTGAAACGATCATGACGCAATGCTTATACCAAGTTTTTGACATCACACGGCGTCACGATAAAATTACCGTTCATTTCTTCGGATATCGCACTTTACGTGTCCAAGGCATGTTCACAATGTTCTATAAGTGCCCAGAAGGATTAATTGGAATTTCCAAATAAAGTTTCAGCGCATACACGACAACAATGATAACACACATTCTGAAGCTTGGACGCTAGACTTGTAAACACGAGCAAGTTTACAAGGATCAAAGCATTCGATATCGACATGAAAAATATGGTAATTTACATAGCAACCAAGGACTTTATTCGGGGACGATGGATACGGGCCGCAGGCTCATTTTGAGAAATTAGCTATAAAGAGATAGGAATCGTACGGTACACTTACTCGGTGTCATTGTCCGCGCTATCTCTACATAGCTAGCTGACTTTAGCAAAGTGAGCCGCCACCTCATATACATTTTTATTAACCGGTGAATCGGTGACGCGAAAACATACCGTGAGGAACAAACCAAAACGTCCTACACATTTTCACCACCCCAATCTGAACCTCCTCACCCAAATCTTCGCCTCCGGCGCGACCTTATTGAAGAAAACCCTAGCGTTCGCCTCGTGCCTCGACCTTCGCCCCTCCGGCCTCCAACCAGCGCGGCCCCCCACGATCGCCCATTCCCACCCCTCCCCTTTCCCCCGACCAGATACCCCCACCATCCGCCGCCTGCACTCTGCCCCAGCACTCGGGTTTGTACGCCGCCGCACTTCCATGTACGAACCCACTGCTACACCCTCCCCTCCCCGTCCCACCACGCGCGAACCCCCGACGCGCACCCGCTGTACGGCGCTGTGGCCCGCCTCGGTCGACCTCCATGGCCGGCCCCCACCGCCTTTCCCCTCCACCCGCCCCCACCCATTCTCATTGACGCTCCCGCATCCGCCGGAAGCCGCCGTCGCCGTCTCCGCCGACGCCTCGCGCTTCCTTCGAGCCGCAGGAAGGCGACGTCATTTTTCCAGCAAGTCCACGGGGCCGAAGGCGGTGCGAAGGGACGGAATCCGCATGAGGGGGCGAGTACGCAGGGCGTCGGGGTCCGAGGCTGACGAGGCATCTGGAAGGCGGGACTGATGCGCGTCGCGGAAGTTCCTGCGAAGACTGGCACCGGCAGTGCGCCGCAGGGGGCGGCTGGAGACGTGCGATGCAACTGTCGATCTGCGGTTACGTCGTGGGCGGTAGGCCGTTGGCGACGAGGCAACTGCTTCGGCGTGGACGCGCACGTTGCGTGCCGAGGGGGAGGCGTCCTGGGAACCTCGAGGCCTTGCAGCCAGGGTAGAATTCGGCCCGCTCGAGCCCAGGCCCACGCAGCCCCCACTTGGGACAGCAGGAGATCGGGGTCGCCCCGGCCAAGGATTTGGGCCAACCGTCGGGACTAGGGTTGGTAAAAGCTGTCGCGCGATTCTTCGACAGGCCGGCCCGGACATTCCAATTATAAGCCGCGGCCTCGCTGGGCTCGATCACGAACTTGTGCTTCTTCTCCATTATTAAACTATATTATTTCTCCTCCCCTTTGTTTTATTTTGTTTTTTATTTATCTTATTTTATTTTACCTTTTTCTCCCTGAGTTGTGGGGGAAGAGGGAGATTGGGATTCGGGGGTGGGGGTGGTATTTAAAGGTTTTGGAGAGGAGGGGGGAGATTTTGTAATTAATTAATTAATTAATTTTAGGAAGGGGTGGATTGAGATTCAGGGACGGTTCGTGGAATTTACGGTGCACATAATTGAATTGAGAAAACCTTGGTCATTTTTTAAAAATTCGCACATGGAGAAAGCGTTTAAAACTCATCTTAGGGTGTGTCATATACGAATCTTGCGTGTTTGAAGATGCAAGGATAATATTTCTTTGTCACAAGAGTTTTTTTTTTTTTTTAAATACAAATTGTAACATAACATTGTGCATTACAGCATGGCCGGATTCATGTAATCAACCGGGGCCATTTGCACGCGTAGAAATTTGAATATTACATTTGAAAGCCTTCTTTCAGAATTACAAAAGTGCACCCGAACCCTTACTTTTATAACCGCTAAACAAGTTTGTAGCCCATTTGTAGTTTACCGATTTGAAATTAGTAACTCACATGAATATTCAAACAACTAGCCTAAATGTATACTTGTGGTCTACCTCCTAAATTTTTTTTTCTCATAATTTTTTTTTCCTGAATCTGTCACTACATTAGAGGAGGGTTTTCAGATAGAGGCAGTTCGAAGATTTAATTGTCTCTCTTATACGGCTTAGAACATGCAACAAACACGTGAACATAAGTCCATTTTTTCATGATGAAAATAAAACTGAAATTTTTAAAGACCTTCACTACATACTTATTAAGGACTTCCTAATTTTATACAACAAGAGGTGGATGCCTTGAATCACAAGTATACATCTTCATATATAATTGTGCTCATCTTTTCTTTAGGTACACTTTTTATGCTCACGTGATTACTTGGAGAACAAAAGAAAATGAGATAATAGAAATAATACCTTTTGATCTAGGGTCATTTTGTATCTAAAGTTTAGAATATTCATGGAATGAATGAGACTGAACCTAGATCTAAATCTACACTGATCAAAGCTTTTTTTGGGTCCCACCAGCTAACAACTTCATCGCTTAGGGGCTGTTTGGTTCCCTATTTTTGAGGGAAAGACTCTCTTGAAAGCCTGCCAAAAATATCAAAAGTGTCATTTTTTTGACAGGTTTTCAAGAAAAAAAAATTCTAACCAAGCAGACCCTTACATCCCGTACTCCAGTTCTCCTTTCGCGAGCTTTTGCTCCAAAAAAGGCATCTTTTTACCCATTTCAATGGGCTTTATTATTTGATCTCCTCATCTAGTGATCTTTGTCCACACGCCTACTGACAAAAGAAAGAATCTAATACACTCTTCTGTTATAGTTTTATCAGCTCAATTCTAACTAGGAGCATTTCCAAATACAACTAGCTCTATTTCACGACAGCTGTACTTTACTATTTGTATTTTCCATAAGATGATCATGAGCTTTCATGGATTTGAACTTGGATGCAAGCCCAATATTGGGATTGGGTGCTCTCCAGCAAGTGCGGTTGGTTGATGGAGAGATCCAATCAAACAACTGGTTGTGGTCTGACATTGGAATCCCACTTTCCTTCTATTTTCAACAACAGATCCATGAGACAAATTTTCAAAACCAACCACTTTTGAATCTTAATCTTAAGGGACTGTTTGTTTGCCTAAAAAAAGTGGGAAAATCAAAAAATAGGAAATCAAAGAATAGGAAAACTTGTATTATGGTTGTTTGGTTGACTAAAAAAAGAAGGAAATCAAAGAATAGGAGATGAGATGAGATGAGTTATCACCGTATTATTGGATGATGTAAGTGATTTTTTAAGAAAACTTGTTTTGAGGTTGTTTGGTTGGTTAAAAAAAATAAGGAAATGTATTATAAGAAACTTATTTCCTATAATAAGTTCTTTTCTTGTGTTTGGTTCATTTTTAAAAATAAGAAAATAGATGAGATGGGATGAATTGTTATTATATTATTGGATGATGTGACCCACACTTAAGGAAATTAATTTCCTTGGTTTTTTATGAAAATGGATGGAAATAAAATGTTAATGAGATGAGATGAGTTGTCACCATATTATTGGATGATGTGGGTGATTTTTAAAGATGATATGAAATGAGTTGGATGATGTGACTCATTTTTTGTGTTTGGTTTATTTTTAAAAGTAAGAAAGGAGATGAGATGTGATGAGTTGGTGGATAAAAATAATAAAAGTAAGAAAGGAGATGAGATGTGATGAGTTGGTGGATAAAAATAATATTTTATTGATAAAAGTGTATAGATTTCCTAAAATAATATTTTATTGATAAAAGTGTATAGATTTCCTTTTCTTGGGGTGAGTTTTAGGGATGAAAATGGATAAAAATAATATTTTAATAAAAAAATACAAAGATTTCCTTTTCTTGGTTTTTAGGAAACCAACCAAACAGCCCCTAAAAAAAGACATGTTTCAAACTTAATTTAAAAAACCGATCCAGTTGGCTGAAACTGAGTCGGTTTTTAAAAAAAAAAATTCCTAAACTTCACGGGAGTTGAAGTCCCATGAAGTTTTTTACATAACAAAACTTCACGGGACTTCAACTCCCGTGAAGTTTGAGAACTTTTTTTTTTTAAAAACCAACCATGTTTCAACCCAACTGGGTCGGTTTTTTAAATTAAGTTTAAAACATGTTGGTTTTTGGGATTTTTTTTCAAAGAAGTATGTTTTGAAAATTTGTTCACGGATCCATGCGATTAAATTTTGAAGTAGGCAATTTGTAATTCAATCCACAAAAATCCCCATATTGGAAAAGGAATGCTATCCATACCCACCGGTAATTGAGCGCACGCTTAAAAAAAACGGAAAAAAAAAAGAAAATGATGTGACTTTATACTTAATGCTGATATAATATCATTATACGAAAGAGATGAGCCTGCAACGAAAGTCTTCGAACATCTCAATTCTGGTGCACATTTCGGTCAGTGAATTGAGAACCACTGCTTTAAACCGTGATGGCTGATGAGCATGTCCATCCATTTCCAGATCAATTACAGTGGACCGTGATGTGACCAAAGCTATAGGACGCACATAGCTTAGAACTTGATAAATATCGATAACACCTTGCAACAGAATCAGAGCAGTTAAAACCTAAAACGTATAACAAATCAAAAAGTCTTGACAAACTTGAAATCTAATCGGTAAAAGATATCCAAAAGCAACAAATTCTTCGAAGAATACATGCGTAAAGTTTTAGAGTTCCATACAAGAAAAAAGCCTCGTTGAAGATGCAAAAGGTGCACAACTCCTAGAGAGTAGAGCTGACTACCAATCTCGCCGGCGATCTCTCCCATAGTCCCGGCCTCTTTCATAATCATAGTCTCTGTCTCTTCCTCTTCCTCTGTCTCTGTCCCTGTCCCTCTCTCTGCTGCGGCTCCTTCTCCTCTCCCTCTCATGTCCATATCCATCTCTTTCTCGGCTTTTGCTGCTTTCTCTGTCTCTGCTTCTCTCCCGACCATTTCTTTCAGCTACACCTGCAGACATCAAAGAGCTTATCAAACAATCAAAGCTTAGTTCAGTGAGGAAAGATAAATTTTACTTTAATATGAAATGTTTGGCTATAGGACTAGAGTCATGTAAGGAGGAGCCCTACTGTTGTCGATGCTTCAGTAAAAATCTTCCACTGAATTTTAGTTGGCATTTGGCAAAAATAAACTAGAAACCATTGATATGGATAATAAGCAAATTATTTCCCATGGTGATGAAAATTAATGATGAAAATTACTCAATTAGCTGACTTGTGATTGGCAGTCATATAAGTGGAACAAATCCATTTGAAGCTCTTAAATAAACTAAAATGTACTTATAACAAAGTAGACGATTAAGACATGCACATCAAGATTCCCCGCTTGATAGTTGTTTGCCAGTAAAAAAATAACCAAAATCAAACTTAAATTTCAAATTGTTTAATGATATGGAGACAGTACCTAGCTCCTCAACTTCCCATCCAGCACGCCCAGAACCAGGGAGCATCTGTCTACTTTCAACTTGCTGTGTTTTTGCACGGAATTTCTTCTTGAGGTTTCCAAACTCATCGTACATCTCTTCATCATCCTGAAAGTAGGTAGTGAAATAATTCAGAGGCTTATAATTCCCTACTTATCTCTAACCAAGGTTATGAGGATCATACCTCTTCAGCTTCTTTTCGCCGTTTTCTTGTTTCCTCAATTTCTTCTTCATCAAGTTCTTTGTACCCACCAGCACGACCTCCCCTGGGAATTACAATCAAGTTTCAGTAAGATAAAGAAGTTATTAATTGAGATGTTTCAGAGATTTCTATAACTTGAAAATATATGCAAATGTACATGGAAAAATATTAAGAAATAAATGCAGTTAATTAACTGTATATATATCTGAGAAAAAAATGAGATCCATCAAAAGTAGCGGATATAGTTGAAACTTTCCCATTTCATAAGACCAAGTAAAGTTGCCAGGCCCAAGGGTTCCTTCTTCCCAAAACAAACCACACACTGCTAGCACCAATATTAATAATTGTTGTGATTTAAGTTTGCTCTTTTAACAAACTAGTTTTTACACACGTGCAATGCACGTGATTTAATACCATGATTAAGTATTTTTGGTAGTTTGTACTCATTTTTTTTTTTAAACTCTTACATCCCGATTATTTTTTTATGTTTGTTTAAATGGGATACACCCAATTTAAATTTTCATGTTGATATTTGAATTGACAAAAAACAAATATAATTTAAAAATAATTTGAATTTTCATATTATATTTGACTGATATAAAACTAAGCTTTATTTGAGAAAGTATAGCATTGCAAAGTGAAAAATATTAAAATAGTGTTATACAAGGAAGGTGAATATTTAAAACAAATATGGCAAAATGATTGATTTAAAGTATGTTAAAACGATGCAAAAGAGAATATAAAGTTTATTCCTAATCATTGATAGACTTCATAAAAAAATATAAATTAAAGATTAATGCTAACTCTAGTATACTTTTATATGATAAAAAAATCCACATAAGAATATAAAAGTACTAAAAAAATTCATGAAACTCCCTTCTAAAGATTCCTAATTTTACTCAAAATAATTAAACTATTCTATAAAATATTTATAAAATATTGTTTTTATTTCTTCTATTTTATTTTTTATTGAGTTAAGATCAATCCTTCTTCAGGTTTATCATTTATCATTTCTCGGATAATTCTAGAGTATTGTCTTTATCATCTACATCAATTGTGACATCACGCTAATTTTGTATTTTTTATGCTATTATCTTTCCTAGGCTCGTTAATTTTTTATCATCTCATTTAACTTTACAAAGAAGTCAAATGTACTTATGATGTTCAACACAAACTGCTCAAAATATAGACTTTGATTTTTTTTCTATTTCAATGAGAATAAATATTAATTTCATATATATAAAATTCTTTGTGTTCCTAATTTATTACTTAAATAAATTAGAAGCTATCTCTTTATTTTCCTCTAAAATGAATTCTTCTGATGTGCATCCAATAAGAATTTCTGTTATTTCAATAATATTACCTTTGCTCTATCCCTGTCATTTTCCATAAAGATCTAAACTAAATACCTGCATTATTCATTACCAATTTCTCTTAGATTATAATATTAATATTTAATTTGAAGAACACAGTATGGAATTTATGAATACTTACTAATTTTTCTTATGTCTTCCATGGAGATTTTTTCTTTGATTAGGATAAAGTTATTAAATTATTTTTTAATGTAACTCATTCAGTGCTTCATTAATAGATATGTCTTATGTTAATGCCAATTCAAGTGATTCATTGACGTTTTCTGAATTTTAGATTTATTTCCATCACTTTCCCATTTGCAATGGAAATAACTCAATTCTTTTAAAGTTATCTCTAAATATTCTAATAGTTTCTCCATATGTAATTCCTTGTATTCTTTTACCCTATAAATATTATTAACGTCAAAGATTAAAGTTTCTAAATTAAAATCAATTAATGCTAAGGTATAATATTATAGTGTTTTATCATTTCTATGGATTTAAACATCTATCAATTAATGTTACGAATGTATTTTGGCTACCCCAACTTATTACTAAAATTATATGAAATTACTTTAATTTATATAGTGCCGATAATTTTTAATCTATAATATTTTTAAAAATTTTATCCATTAACCGGATGTTTTTAATCAATTCTTATTGTTTTTGTTTACCAGTATCAACTTAGACTATTCTTAGATGCTGAAAATGGATAGTAAATCCCTAAATTAGAAATTTTAATATATATATATATGAAAAATACCAAACAATTACACTTTTCTTTGCCAAGTTTTAAAATTTTAGCCCATTTTTGTGGTTTTGAACTTTGAGGGTGTGATTTATAATTTTTAAAAATTTGAAAGAGTTTTTTAAAAAATTTACTTTTAAGTTTGGTAGTTGTAAATTCTATGTTTCATGTGTTGGTGGTAATTTTTTAAATGTTAGTATATTTCTTGTAACTCTAAAATTTTGAGGGTGTCTTTTATAATTATTAAAACTATAGATTAATTTTGAAAAATATTAAATTTCAGCGGTCTACCAATCGACGAATTTGATTTATGCTAATTAAAAATTTTGAAAATTTAGAGTTTTTTTACGATTTTTAAATTTTGAAGGAGTTTTTAAAAAATTTTGAGGTTAATTTTTGCAAATTTTAATTTTTTAGGTGTGTAAGGGTAATATCTTGAATTTATCTTATTTTATTTATGAATTTTAGAATTTTAGGGTGACTTTTTATAATTTGAACTTTTGAAGATATTTCTATAATTTTTGAGATATTGAAGGTGTTAATTAAAAAATTTAAATTTAAATGTCAAAAATTTTAGGTGTATCATGGTAATCTCTTGAATTCATCTGTGTTGTTTGTAAGTTTTAAAATTTTAGAATTTTAATGTGCTTGTCTATAATTTAAACTTTTGAGGGTGTTTCTATAATTTTTGAGACATTGAGGTGTTAACTGTAAATTTTAAATTCTTTGCAAACTGATGTTAATTTTTTAATTTCATGTTTTTTATTTTAAGTTTTGAGACATTTGGATGGGTTTTATAATTTTGAACTTTTCAGGGTCTTTTCTGTAATTTTAAAACTTTTTATGGTTTTTTTTGCAATACTTCATGTATTATCATTTTTATGCAATACTTCATGTAATATGTTATCTACTTGTAATTTCTTTATCTTAACAAACTAATATCATTTTTATGTTTTATATATTTTATTAATATTAGTTTTTTTAAATTGTTAAGCTAAACATGATTCACATAGGATTAGGATAAGATATGATTATGATTAGGATAGATTAAGATATAAATAAAATATTCAAAATAGTGAAGGGTAATATTGACCATTGAAAATTAGAATTTTATTATAGATAAGGTAGTTCAAACTATAAAGGGGCATATTTGTCTAAAAAAGATTTTCCGAACTCGTGCTTTTAAAGGGAGTATGACTAGCTAAACATGGTTCATCATCTTTGCCCCTCTCGTCCACTCCTCACCATATATTCCATTCCCATCTCTTCTCTCAGTTCTCGTAAGTTTCTTTAGTTTTATCGAATGTTTGTATAATTGTCGGGTTTTTTTTAATTTATCTGAATCGATCTTTGTCTTTAGATGGATCATTGATTGAATTGGGTTTTCATCATGGAACCTGATGTGCATTTGGGGTAGAGATACTGTCACGGTTAGGTTTAGAATTAGCTTAAGAAGAACTGGAAGCTGGCAGATTCGGAAGCCAGGGGGCAATCTGACGGTGGAAAGGCAGAACTGTAGGCATAAGAGGTGGAGACAAACATATCGGCAGAATAGGCATTGATATTTCTTTTAAAACTAATAAAAATAGATCTAATATGCATGGACTAAGAATATGGGTATAACAGTACAATAATTTTGGATATTAAGGACTATTTAAAGTTTGTTATATATATCTATATATATGTACATATATATATATATATATATATATACATATATATATGTATATATATATATATATATATATATATATATGAGAAATATGAGTATGGCTTAGTACCAAGCACAAAATTTTGTGCTTGGTAGTGATGCGTCACATCCCATCCACTCACTACCCATGTGAATTTGTTCCCACATTTGAATGAGTGGAGGGGGATTTAACACCCCACTACCAAGCATAACTTTTTATGCTTGGTACCAAGCCATACCCATATTTCTCTCTCTCTCTCTCTTCTCTCTATATATATATATATATATATATATATATATATATATATATATATATATATATATATATATGTAACAAACTAATGTATGTATGTGTATATATATATATATGAGAAATAGGGTATGCTTATAACGCAAGCACAATTTTTATGCTTGGTAGTGATGTGTCACATCCCCATCCACTCACGTACCCATGTGAATTGTCCCACATTGAATGAGTGGAGGGGATTTAACACCCCACTACCGAAGCACAACGTTTTTGTGGCTGGTACAAGCATACCCATGATTTCTCTCTCTCTCTCTCTCTCTCTATATATATATATATATATATATATATATATATATATATATATATAACAAACTATATGTATGTATGTATGTATGTATGTATGTATATATACATACATACATACATATATATATATATATAACACACTATATGTATGTATGTATGTATGTATGTATGTATATATACATACATACATACATATAGTTGTTTATATATATATATATATATATGAGAAAAATGGGTATGCTTGGTACCAAGCACAAAAAGTTATGGCTTGGTAGTGAGGTGTCACATCTCCCTACACTCATTCAAATGGTTGCATATCTCATACACTCCTCACCCATGTGAATTTGGTCCGCCATTTGAATGAGTGGTGGAGATTATATCACCTCACTACCAAGCACAAAATTTGTGCTTGGTACCAAGCATACCAATTTCTCTCTCTCTCTCTCTCTCTCTCTCTATATATATATATATATATATATATATATATATATATATATATATAAAGTTTGTACGTGTACACATAAATCATGATCAAACTTCTGAACACAGAAGAAAATTCCCCAACACTAGAACAGCTAAAAAAATTGCATTGTTGTCAGTTAGTATATTAAAGATAGAAGTTACTGTGATATTTACCTCACACCCCCTTCATTATGGCCAGGCTTATTGGTGTTGCAAATATTACACTTCAGCCGCTTTGCCCAGTTTATGTTGGCACACCTGAAAAGTAACTCATACAATATCAGTCAACTCATAAACAATGATATAACAAGTGAATCACTTGACATCCACTGCCATTAAGTTATGCTACTTCATGGACCCGCTTTTGGGAGAGGTGGAATGATCATCGGCTGATCTATATCATGGAGCCTTGGATACACGGTTTTGTAATTATTGGATACAGAGGAAGTTCATCCCTCGAGTATTGGAATTTCTGCTTACATGAAACATAAAGACCATGGAGATAGGACCCCTTGCAAATATCCATAAAAGTTATAGACCATGGCAAACAAGTACCAAGGAAAAATTCAGACCAATTTCAAGCAAAATTTACTTTATATCTATTATAAAAAAGAAACTTCTGACCTTTACGATCTATATTCTAGAAGTTTGTGACTTTTATTCTTCACCCTAATAAAGAACAGAATTTCATTAACAAGGATATCTATACTGAGCAGCGACCAGCGACCAACGACTTGTCCTTTCATTTGTTGTACATAGACAGAGTAGAGAACTTTGAAGTATGTTGAAACAAAGAGAATTATTGGTTTCTCTAAATTGATAAATCATAAGAGCAACGAGATCTAATAGGTTACAATATGGTATAACCATATAAATAAATATGAAAAGTTCCATTTGAAATGATAACTTGAGGAAAAATCATATGAAAATCTTCAGGAGGAATTATTAGAGGAAAAACCACTCAACACCTGGATCGATAAAGCACTTGAATACAAATAAGTTCTGTCATGTCCAGAACTTTCTACGAATCTATGTTAAGTGCTTTCACCTCCATTAAGTCAAATAAGTTCCTCTTTGAGATTAGATGTATGATGACGATTAGTAAGAGGCACAAAACAATAATCTGTGGTTTTGATTCTGGCTTCTTCCAAGTCTTGACAGCAGAAGCAGTGCAGCATTTAATGCATTTATTCCTTTCTCTGTTCCAATATTTTCTTTTCCCATCAAATAGTCTCTCATGGATATACCTTTAGCTAAACTTTCTCTCTGTTCAGCCTTATCTAAACTTTGCATTTATTATATTAACTAAACTTTCTCTCTGTTCAGCCTTGTCATAACTTTGTATTTATTATGTTATCTCTTTTAAAACCTTCTTCTAAGTTCTAAAAAAATCCATTTCAATTATTGATCAGTGATCAGTTTTTATAGGCACTTAAATTCTAAAATTAACAAACACCCATAATTTAGAAGAAAGTCAAAAAGAACTTGAGAATAAATCCTTCCTCGATAGATGTGAAGAACGTATCAATTACTACTATTTAAGAAAAGTTATTTGTCGGTGTTCTCCCTATGTTAGTCACCCTTCAAGAAAATTCCAAACATATCCCAAAATTATACATACAATTTTCAATAATTTTGTACACAACCTAACCCCAGCTTCACCACGAGACCCACTATCAAATCTCAACTAAAATTAAAAAACCACAAAGGATAACTACTTCCTTATCCATTTCCTTCTCTCCAAACCGCGTTCAAGAAAATACTAAAAAGAACAAGTTCACAGGAAAAAGAAAAGAAAAAGGCTGAACTCCTTGGTTGTATCCAAGTCGCTGGACTTTTGTGAAAACCTCCACAGACTTTTGAAGATGGATCTTCAAAGACGTATATTTAACTCCTCAAAACCACATTCTCTCCTTATTTATAAAGTGGATATTAATATGGTGATATTGATGTTGTTGGTTAAGGTGCAGATGATGGATGTGTTATATGCAGCTCAAGTCAAATCTTCATCAGGTAGAATATCCTTCAGTTTTTTCTTTGTTTTTATGTTCTTTTCCTTTTAATTATACGCACAAACGATCGACAAAAGTCAAATTATTAATTTAATCTTTATATATTCTTCACACTACAAATAACAAATGTCAAGATAAAGGTGCGGAGCATATCTCTTTATCACATTTGATGCGGAAATGACAAATAAAGTAAAAGCCATCTGAAGTTTTTTTTACTGAATTAATATGTACCGTGTCATGCATGCATCGACTGCACAGGAGTACCGGTCTATAAAAAGAACACCACGAAACAACATTACACCTATCAAAGGGAGGTGAGGTAAAAGAAGCCAACAATTCTAGAATCGTCAAAATGATTTTATTTCCTCCTTCAGAACCTTGTACTTACTCAATAAGTTACCCGTACCAACTTCCAGCATTAGATATAGGCACAAAAAAGCCAGCAATTTGCAGAATAAAGAAATAATACGGGCAGTCAAGACTTACATTGGACAAGACCAGTCATTGGGACCAAAAAGTCCTGTTGGGCCACCAGCGGACCGACCGCGTCCACCTGCATCAGTGCTGCCACGGCCTCTACCTCTACCCGCAGCCGTGGCTCCTGTTCCACCAGCATTAGCAGGGCGAGCAGTTCCACAGCGATTGCACACCCCACGAAAGGCAAAATTTACATTTGTGCAACTGCTAAAGATGGAAGAGCATAAAAAAGATATGTATACATATATAACTCAATAAACTATACAAGAATCATCAAGAGCAAGAATGAGTTGCTCACCAATTTCATATCACAGACCTTGTATTTGGACATAACCAATCTCCATCCTGTTTCCATGGCTTTCCAGAAGTATCACCTCGTCCTCTCCCTCTGCCTCCACCACCATTCGTATCATCCAACCCGCCCAAACCTTCTATGCTTAAGTCTGCAGCATGGTTAACTTGTTGGCTATATGACAGATCGCCTGAATCTTTGTTCTTGGACTCTGCTATATAAACCTCGATGATACTTCCATGGAAATCCTTGTTATGGAACCACTCCACAGCTGCAAGAGCTGCGTGTGGATCTTCATATGTAACTGTCGCATCACCCTTGGGCTCATTGGTAACCTTGTCTTTGTATAACCAAATCTTTGGTTGACCAGTCCTCTTGTCCTTCTGCAAAGTTTAAATAAAGGATAACAATATGCAAGTGGATAAATTACCAGAAATGTACGTTAAATTGTTTAAAGAATTTCAGTATTGGATGCCAAACAATACCTGGTGAGACCCATACCTTTAGCAACCCAATGGTGCCAAAATACTCGGCAAGCATGCTCTCATCAGTTCCAGGAGGCAAGTTGCAAACATAAATGGAACCATTTGCAGGGCCACCTCTGCCGGAATAACTCGCCATACCAACAAAGTTGCACTGTTTTCATGAAAACATGACAGTTATTCATATTAAGTGTCATAGTTTACAGTAGTAAACATGGCCATTTAAAGGGACCTTCACGCCTAAGCAACAAGTTGCACCAACAAGTGCACATAGTTCTCATACATATACAGAAAATATCGATATTAAGTATGCATAACGCCACGTTTGTAACGCAGGAATGAGTGATAATGGAATGACAATTCTCATTTCTCATTCTTTTGTATTGAACACAACCTCCTTTTGAAAGCTAGAATGTCAATTCTCACTTCACCTTCATTCCCACATTATGTGGGAATGACCATGCCCATTGAGATGGTAGGGAATGGGCATTCCCACTTAAGTGGAAATTAAAAAAAAAAAGATACATAACTTCCGATATATGTCCATTCCCACTTCATTCTCTAAAGTGCATCTGTGAGAATGGAAATGAGCATTCCAACACCACATTATCATTCCATTCTCATTCATTCGTTTCTCGCGCACCAAACAAGGCGTCAGAGAATGTCTAAAGCGTCTATTGAAATTGCTCCTGATGCCAATAAAGAAGGCTATCCAAATAACGCCATCATCAGCATCACACCAAGCTCGCATCAAATGTGGTTCAATAACCAGGTAAACTAAGCAGCAGCTCAACTTAATTAGAGAAGTCTTCAGAAAAGAACCACGCTGGTCGATTTCAAAGCTAAAATCCTCATAGTTCAAACAGAATGATCCTGGATTGATTTCGAATTTCTTTGATTTTGATTCTACCAGTTCATGAAACTAAAGAAATTTATGTAAAAATCAAAAAAAATTTGTTGAAATTTCCCGCAAGACAGCAATGATACAAGTGATCCGATCTCAATATTCGCTAATGAATAGCTTCACAAACAGAGAGGAAGCAAAAAAAATCCAATCTAATCAAATAATCTCAACAAAAAAAAAACTTTTCAAGAAAAGAATCCCGAAAGCAGCAGAAGTACGAAAAGAACTGACCTTTGTTGAAAGGGAGAGGTTCCGAGATGGAGCTCGCCGGTAATTGATCTCCGGCAGCGGAGTTATCGGCGGAGCTGCGGCGTGCCCTAGACTTGGGTGGGGGTGGGGTGTTGCGGGGCAAGGAAGAATTAGGGGAGATCTGTTTTGATTCGTTAGAGAGAAAGAGAGAGGAGAGAGAAAAACTTTCGATAAATAATCAAGAATTTCATATATTTTAGATTCGCATTTTTTTCTGCTTTTATCTCCTCGCTTTCTTTCTGGATACGTTTGGACTTGAATGTTGGAGTAAAGGATATAATAAGTGGATACTAATGTATAAAATCCAAATATCTATCTCAATTCCATTAAAAATTCTGATAAAGGCAATAATTTGGAGCTTTTCCTCATATCTAATCTAGGGGACAAATTTTGAAAACCATCCTATTTGAGAAATTAATTGCAAAAATCGACCTATTCACAAAATATTTGTGAAAACCGACTCAGTTTCAGCCGTCGTGCTGATATTGTGTCGGTTTTGAAGAAAAATCTTCTGAGGTTTTTGTACATTACCAAACTTCACAGAACTTGAAGTCTCGTGAAGTTTCGGAACATATTTTGTCAAAACCGACCTAGTTTCAGCTAGACAGCTGAAACTAGGCCGGTTTTGACAAATTTTTTTAAAATAGGTCGGAATTTACGATTATTTTTCTTAAATAGGATGATTTTCAAAATTTGTCCCTAAACTAGCTTTCCACTGCATCCAATGCCTGTATAATATAGTACATACTTGAAGATCAGGAGAAAAAAATCCTAATGCATAATGTGGAGAGGAAAACAAGACGTGCCAAAACTTTAATGTTTAGAAACCTGGGGGTTGTTTGGTTCGCTAAAATGAGCCCTGAAAACCGATTTCTTCTTTTGACACGGTGTCCACATAGGACTTTTTATTTCTTTTTGTTCTTTGTGTGAGTTTGGTTCGCGGAGAGAAAAATGGTTTACAGAGGTGGAAAACAGCCCCACCTCAGTGAAATCTCTCGTCGCGATTTCCTCTAAAATCGAGTGGAAAAGCCTCTAAAATCCTCCTCTCGTGTCATTTTGTTAGATTTGCATTTAATTTGGGGAAATCCCTCAGTTGTCTAGGGTTACAACCAAGCCTCTCTTCGCGCCTCGGTGGTTGCTTGCGGTTTTCTCCCTTTACCCTGCCTTGGAACTCTGTTGATTTCTTTCGCTTTTTGCTGGATCTCAAAAAAAGGCAGCGTCTTTCTTCCGATTGTTGGTTGATTTGGGCAAAGTCAACAATTTCAGGTAAAATTTGTGAATTTTTGGATTTATAATGGTAATTTGTCTTTTGATATTCAATGTTTTTTATGGGAAAATGTTTGGATCACAGTTTATATATATGGATATGCAAATGGAAAGGGAAAAGGTGAAGTTGCATTCTCATGTTCTTGCTGGACAAAAATGCCATAGTTTATGAAGTAGAATCCATATATTTATTTTTAATATGAAAAAAGGGGAGAGGGTTTCTTAATTCTTTGAGGCAGCTGAAGAGAATTATTAAGGGGTATTTGACAAGACGAGAAATTATGAATAACTGAAGCTTAATAAATTGACAAACTCTTTATTTCCAATTTGATTATCTCTGTTTAATATTATTCCATGATCACTTCATATTTGGTACTGAACTTGTGAAACCTACATCTCAGTTTTAGCTACTTCATGCGTATCTGATAATAAAGGTTAAGTATGTCAAATTAGCCTATGAATTCTAATTCTTTTTCTGGGATTTATGGCTTCGCATTTGGCTTCTTTTCATCCATTAAGGAGTTGCTTATGCCTTCATACTATGAAAGTTTACTTGAAGTGACTCTTATCGAATCTTCTTTATCTTACCAACATTAGTTCTAAAGTTGTTTACATAGAGCTTATGAATCACAACTCCTGTTATCTAGTTTTAGTTAGTTATCTAATTAGTGTTGCTGCCACTAATTTAATAACATATGGATGCTTGCTATGAGACTTGATTATTAAGACTTTATTATTTATATCTATTTGTCATGTCAATTTGGTAGGAGTTTTGATTATTGACATTGCATATGGATGCTAGCTAGCCATATTAATTATTTCAATTTGATGTTTGCATCGTAGATGGATGGTGACGGGGATTGTATGGATGAATAAAGTGTTGTCAATATGGTTCAATGTGCTATACTATTTGTTTTTATTATAATATTTACATTCATAAGGAGAATGCAAGCTAGACGTAAATCAATTTGTAGTGGTCTAAGTGAGGAAAAAAAAACAAGAGAGGGCTAGAGTTGAACACATAGAGCATATCTATAATGGTTTTAGTGATAGTTGTGTAAACTACATTAGAATGTGGAGTGGTTAAACTAGCAAGTATAATGAGGAACAATAGGCTGCTAAAAGACTCAAAGAATGTAATAGTGGAAGAACAACTTATCATGACTCTGAACATTTTGGGTCATAAATCTAAAAATCACATTGTGAGATCTCATTTTATAAGATCAGGGGAGAGAGTCAGTAGATATTTCAACAAGGTATTACAAGCAATTATTTGCCTGCGTGGACGTTATGCTACTCTTATTTCAAGGTATATCTATACTTTAAGCACAATTACATGTATAACCAATGAAAATAAATGCTAATTTAGTGATGTGATACACGTATTATAAGATTGCATTGGTATGATAGATAGGACTCGTGTTGATGCAATGCTTCCAATTAATATTGTTGCACGATTTTGAGGCCGAAAATGTGTTACACAGAATGTGCTTGCAGCTTGCAATATAAACAAACTATTCACATATGTTTTAGCAGGTTGGGGGGCCTACAAATAATTATAGGATTCTCCAAGATGCATTATCTAGACCACAACCACATGGATTTAATGTGTATGATGGTAATTATATAAAAATTTAACTTAAAACATTTTAATTTTAATATGCAAACTTGACTTCCTTAACAATTTTCTCAATAAAATTATAGGCAAATGTTATATGTGTGATGCTGGGTACCCCCACCATGCCAGGTTTCATCAGGGATGATCAATATGCAAACCCTTGAGACATTATGATGATCTTGCACTTATAATTGGGGATGATCAAACTAGAGGGGAATTTGCTAGTGATGCTTGGAAAAAGTTTAGTTATAGTGAGTCCATAAATCATGGAGATGATGCTGACTCACCTTTGCCTACCTCTCAATCCCCTCAAGTACATGTTTTAGATGATAAGGACACTCGTCCGCCTAAGGAAGCACCCACCACATCAAGTTCTAAGGTAAAGTCATATGTTGCTAAGCTAAAGGCTCGTAGGACCAACCTAGAGTATGAGCTCATGCTAAAAATGATGGATAAAAATAGATGTATTTAGCGCAAACATGAAGTGTGTAAATATGCATTGGACCAAGAAGTTATCCACTGTCCTATATGCTCATTTTAGAGGAATTTAGTGTTGAAAAGCTAGATGCATGGTACCGTCATCTCTTTTTGAATGAGCATGAATCAAAACTATTTATGGGCATATCTTCGGTTGGTCAAAAAGAGATGATTGATGCATTTCTCAACAAAGAGGGTTGAAGACCAATAGAATACGGGTTTACATGATATTTTATAATTCTCACTTCTAACATACTTGTTAAATCTACTTACTTTTGCTAGTCTTGCTTAATTTAGGGAACTACTCTTAAGGATATTATTTTTTGTGTTTGTAGAACTTTATGATGATGGAATATATTATTGTAATATATAATAAGTATTTATATGCCTCCACATTTAGCTGTGATTCCATGTTTAGCGTACAGTTTCATATGAATATTTACCTTTCATGATGTGAATATTGTAGAATATTAAATTTTACATTGAACTTGTGATTGGAGGAACTTTATAAGTCACCGTATATATGACAACTTATTAAATTTTGTATGCAAGCAACCTACAATGTATACACATTGTATTGGATGGCTACTATTGTAGGTTATTAAGGTATTCAGTTGTCATGTCATGAGTTTACATTAGTTACTTTTTTACTTTAGGCTATGATGATTGTCAATTTTTTTAATATTAGCAACCTGCAATATCTATTAATATTGTACTGGATGGCTAACAGTGATGATATTGACTAAGTTTTAATTAATGAGCTATAAAGATGTAATTGATAATATAATGATGAAGGAATTTGGACATAGCATGAGAAAAGCTGCAAAAATAGTCACAGATCTTGCATGCAACAAAGAAAAAATCTATGTAAAGTATCAACAAGAAGAGCAATCAAGTAGCAATAACAATTTCTGACGGAATCCTCGACTGGATCAAACAAATCTATGGCCATCTTAGGGGGATCAATTTGAAATATTATATGAGAATTTACGAATCTAATAGCAATTTTGGTGATTAAAAGATGTAATTTCAAAAATAATTTTAAGAACTAGGAGACCAATATCAATTTCAATTATCTGATAGAAGGGATGCAGATGGTCTGGATACGACTTAGATATGACACTTATCATATTCGTATCCGCTTACCAATCACGGATACAGATATGGGTATGCCTTGATAAGCAAAATTCATATCAATATCCATTAAAACTGAGTACGGATATGAATATACATGCGCATATATAAGCAGATATACATACAATACAAAATGAATATGAGAAAACTTGATAACAATGGAAAAAAATATAGTTCAATTGATACAAGAGAGTTTATTAATATCCTCTTTATATCTAAAAAGTTAAGATTAGATATCTTGATCATTATAATTAACCTCAAATATATTATTAAAATTAATCTCAATTCTATTAATCTAAGAATTAAAGTTGTTACAACAATATGACCAATATATATTCAGATATCTCGAATATAGATTTAAATATTTTACTACATAATCATATTAGTAACTATATTTTATCGTTTATAGAGTTTAGTAAATATATCCATATCCTAATAATGAATATAAATGCATATATGTTCTTATATACACATATTTTGGTGCACCAGTCTGAGTGACTAGCTTGAAAATGTGAGAACAGTCCTCCTTAGTCAAACTAGCCTACGTTGACTTTCTATGTAGTGAATCATTAAATTAAATAGACCCTAATGCGGCCCAGAACCTTGCTGGGCAATCAAGATATAATCAGGCCCAGCCCAAGGAAGAATTAGGGGAGATCTGTTTTAATGTCGGTGATCTCATCTAACCCATCATTCAGATTTAGTGATCATCGATTTCGCCATTAACTGCAAAGGAAAAAAAAAGGGAAAAAAAACATTTGAAAATTTAACCATATTGTTAAGGAATAGAAATAAAATACAAATCATATTGATGCTCAATATACTTGTTTGCAAAATCACAATACAAAATTGACTTAAAATACATAATTCTTCCTACTGTTAAATCAATTGTATAGAGGTACAAAAACTTAATCCCCAAAAATTAGACAATATATCTTCTTATCTGAGAGCTATATACAAAAAGGTATTAGGAACATAAATGGATGATGTTGTTAGAAAACCTGTTTTAGTAGTAAGAATAGTATAAATTGAAGGTGATTTTGCTGAAGTATAGACTCCAGCTATACCAATAGCTTATATTTTAGAATCTTTAACTTTACGAGAAGATAAATATTTTCTCTTAAATTTGTATAAATTATTTACCTGTTAAATTTGCTAGTCCAAGATATATGCATATATAGCACATATTTTGCATTAATTAATATTTACTTAAGGAGTTTATTTAAAAAAAATATATTTTTTGCTAAATAATTAGCAAAACCGTCGTTTTGCTAATTATTTAGCAAAAACGACCTCTTTTTTGACCAACATGCCAAAAAGATAACATTTTAAAAAGCTGTGTATTCGAAACATACGGGACTGGTAGCCCGATATGTTTAGTCGCCATTAATTGGCGACTAATACGACGCCAAAAACGTACGAGACTACTAGTCCCGTAGGTTTTGGTTGTGAATTCATCCATAACCGTTCTTCCCACGCATTTAACCACATTCTTCAGAACCAATGAGACAACCATCGCCGTCCTTGACGCCTCCTCATGGGTCTTCGCCCATTCCGGGTTCCCAAACCCCGAAACAAAACCCTTCAAATCAAAACTATGCAGACACAACCAAACCAAAACAATAGAAAACCAATAAATATCCTATTATTAATCCCAAAAAACATGTAATTGAGCAAACTTGTCGTAGACGACGAAGGTGAGACCGGCGAGCTCGAGTTTGGCGGTGGGAGACGGTGGTTGAGGAGAAGGGAGGATCTCGAAGCAATCGATGAAGGCGCCAAAATCTTTTACGGCCAAGATCGGGTCTTTAATCGATCGTCTTGGACGGTGGCAGGTGGTCTCGACAATGATTAGTGCACCAGCGACGCTGATCCTGATCACGATCCAGAGCTTAGGGAGAGAGGAGCTCAGGATCGTGGGATTCGAGGCCGAGAGCATCATTGACATCTTTGATTTTATAGAGAGAGAGAGAAGAGTTTGTGAAGAACCAGCAAATCTACGGGACTACTGGAGGTGCTAAAGTTCACAACCAAAATCTACGAGACTACTAGTCCCGTAAGTTTTCTGATATCGTATTAGTCGCCAATTAATGCCGACTGGTAGTACCGTATGTTTCGAATACGCAGTTTTTTTTAAAACGACATTTTTTGGCTTGTTACTAAAAAAGAAATCGTTTTTGCTAAATAATAAATTTCTCTTATATTGTTGCCCGTGGACGTAGGTCGAAATTAGTCGACCGAATCACGTAAATCACGGTGTTCTTTCTTCTTGATTGTGGTTGCTTTATATCTTGTTGATTGTGGGTTGGCTTCTGAGTTGTGGAGATCGTAGTAGGTAGGGAGACTAAAATTCCCCAACAACATTGGAAGAGGAAAGGAGGAAAAAGGGGATGAACGCAAGAGCACCTAAGAAGAGCTAAAGATGCTAGAGTTTTACCTTCGCATATATACTACATGAAGTTGAGGTATTGACGAATATGCCAATGATATAAAATTATATTCTTCTATTCACCGAATCCTTTGAAGTTCGCTCCTCAAGTTACAACATTACAGAGATACGAGATTATGTTCAAGCGTCCGCTGAATCTTTTAGAATTTGCTCCTCAAAATAACTACATTACAAGGAACTTGGACGTAAGTAGGGGTGATAAACGATCGAATCGAATACTAAGATATTCATATTTGTGTTTGTTTAAAATTATCGAATTTGAATGCGGACTCTGATATTCTAGTTTTTTTCGAATTCGAACTCAAATACTTGGTATTTGATAAATATTCATGAATACTCACGAATACTTATTGAATATCAAAGTATATTTATTCCGCTAAAGAATTTGATTTTTAAATAGTATTAAAATTCATAAATAAAAATTATTCATTTATAATATATGATGTATATATATTTAAATCAAAATTTTAATTAGAAAACAAATTTAAGATTATTTAAGTCTTAAAATCAATATATAAAACCTAAGTAGAAATGATAAGTTGGTTAAAAATATGACTTCATATATGCAATAATACAAATAATAAACAGTGATAAAATTTTAAACGATTATTTAATAGACAAACGAATCGAATATATACCTGGTTAAATTCTATCTGTTAATAAACTCGAATACTAAAAATATTTATTTAGTGGTAAATGAACTACCGAATCAAATATAACCGAATAGTTATTTGAATAATTATCGAACTATTTATTAATTATTTGATTCATTTCCACCCCTAAAAGAATCTTGTTTCTTTGAACGCGGCACCTTAAGCAATAACTGGAGGAATTTGTCTATCCTTGCTCAAGCGGGCCGCAAACGGATCCGGCCCAGACCAGGGCTCGCCCAGCGTACTTCTGACGCGCGAAAAGCCACGCCGCTCAAAAACTCCCTTTAGATATCTTCTCCCTTCAAAAATGTCCACGTTTCATCTTCAGCCATGGCCTCCTCCTCCATCGCTCCCCCTCTTACGCTCACCAGATCAATCCGATTTATTTAGTGGTAAATGAACTACCGAATCAAATATAACCGAATAGTTATTTGAATAATTATCGAACTATTTATTAATTATTTGATTCATTTCCACCCCTAAAAGAATCTTGTTTCTTTGAACGCGGCACCTTAAGCAATAACTGGAGGAATTTGTCTATCCTTGCTCAAGCGGGCCGCAAACGGATCCGGCCCAGACCAGGGCTCGCCCAGCGTACTTCTGACGCGCGAAAAGCCACGCCGCTCAAAAACTCCCTTTAGATATCTTCTCCCTTCAAAAATGTCCACGTTTCATCTTCAGCCATGGCCTCCTCCTCCATCGCTCCCCCTCTTACGCTCACCAGATCAATCCGCACCCAGAAACTGACCCGCCCTCTCCTTCCCTCCACGTCAGCACGCCGAACATCAACCCTCGCCAGCTGGCG